GTGTAAACTCAGCCTCCATGATAAGCACACTAGGATATAGGAGAGGTAAAGTTAGGAAGCCAAGGCTGATTTATTACACAGGGTCAGGGGTCAGATGTCAGGGTGTCTGTCCAACAAGGAAGTGGGTGAAGACATATTAGAGGGAAGAGTCCAGTGCATGTTGGATGTTGGTACCTGTGCAGCCTTCGGCATGAAGTGGCAAGAGTGCGGGTCAAGTGGGGCAGGTTGCTGGCTCCGCCCCGCACAGCTTCCAGGTCTAGTCCGTAGCTTCCCTTCAGGTACTCATGTGAAACAGTGCTCAGCCCATTTGGAGTGCTGTTGACGGTAGGGGCAGAAGTCAGTGGAGACTTTGCCTGGCTATGCCAGCTCCCCCACTCATCCCTAACAGGATGGGCACTGGGGTCAAAGGAGAGGTCTCATATCTGCTTCTGGGGCTGAGAAGCAATGAGGGGAAGCAGTTCTTAGAAGACCAAGAAACTGCCTGATCAGTGGAAGGCATTAGGGTCTCACCTCTCAGTAGCTAGAGTTGTGGGGGTCTCAGGGGCTGCTGGAGGGCTGCTAGACCCCATGGGGGCAGAAATGCTGGTGGAGCCAGAGCGTGGGGGCAGTGGGGGCTTCTCGTCCTCCCCATCTGTGAACAGGAGTCAGGGGTTAGGCATGTGAATCTCCCACCCTCAGCAGGGCATGCCACAGACTTCCATGGGAAAGGGGTAATGGGCCATGTCACCATGGTTAGGCAGGTAGGGGGTTTCAGGGGAGGATGGGGTGGGATGGGTAAGGAATGAGCCATGCATCAGGCAGCACCTGAGGCATCACGGTCATCTGGTGGGTCCAGCTCTCGCTCCCGCTCCACAGGTAGCAGCAGGGCACACACAAGGCCCTGGTTGGGCTGGGCATACAGGCCAATGAGCTCACCCAGGGTCTGGAAGCGGCGCACAGGCACACCCTGTGAGGTCTGCAGGCCAGCAAAAGTAGAAAGCAGAGTCAGCCATGGGGTTTCAAACTCTGAGGCTAAGACCAAGGTCAAAGGTCAAAGTTCATACCTGCACAGCCAGGAAGTCTTCTCCATCAGGCAGAATGCGGTACGTGTGAACATGCTTCTGATACCTAACAGTAGGACAGGGGTCAGACTTCACCCCAGGCACCCCCGTTTCGTCCACCAGGCTCAGCCTCCAGTCCCTTCAGCTTGGTCTACCTAACACCACTTACCCAGGAAACAAAGTGTTAATGATGGAGCCAGTCCATTTCTACTGCCCTAATGCTGCTGGACTGCCCCCCACTACTACCCTCAGCGACTCCACATCTACCACAGGGCCCAGGAAGCAACAAGAAGCTCTTTTGTGGCTTCTACAGCTGTCTAAACAGCCCCTCTGGGCTGTGGTATCAGCCTGGGCCCCCTGCCAGGGTAAGAGTCCTCACAGAAGTCCAGTCAACTTCTGTGTGTTGTATTTAGGCAACATGCATATACATGTGGACATCTATTTACTGTCTGCGTTTATATGGGTGTATGGCTCATGAGAGTTGATGCATCTGTGGCAGTTTTGTGAGACATCACCCTAGTGCTTCTATCACCTCTCTTCCCATAGACACTAAGGAACTGAGACAAGCCAACGAGGGCCTTCATGGGAGACCAGCGTCTCTAGGAACCTGGAGTAGAAGAGGGATAAGAGAGGTGCCAACAGATGGCAGCAACAGCTGAGCAGGTGACAGCTGAGCTAGGCTTCTATAAAGGCACAAACTCAGTCCAGAAGGTTTCCTCTACCTTCATGACCTCAGGGCACGCTTACCCCAGAATCACCTGTGCAGGTGTCTGGTGGAGGGACATGTCTGTTTAGAAGAGCCTTGGTCACAGGACTATTCTCTCCCCTCAAAGGGATCGCCTCGCTGCTAACCAGATACAAGTTGTGTGTATCTGTGTGTAACTGGGTGTGTCAGTTTGTGAACTATGTGCCTGTGTTTGTAACAATAACACTATCTCATTAACTGAACCCAGTCTTTGTGTTAAGCTGGGTACTAAAGTGATCTCATGTAATCCTCACAGTTTGCAAAAATTATGCCCATTCTTCAAATAAAGAAACTAAGTCTCAAAAAGGAAAAATTATTTACCTAAGGTCATAGGGCAAGTGAAAGGCAGAGCTGGGATTTAAAGCCTGGGCCCATATCCCGACCTGCTGGCTTGTTTGTACCTGTCCAGGGCAGGGGCATATCTTGGGAGTTATCCATGTACATGTGGATGCACACACAGGTAAGCAGACATGCCTTTGGTTAGGAAATCCCCCTTTTCTGATCTCTACCCCCTGGCTTATGAGATGTAGAGCAGAATGTCAGCTAGCAAGGCTGAAGCCTCCCACATAGACCCCTCACCTTTCCCATTCCCTGTCCTGGTGATAGAGCCATGCTTCTCTCCTTTCTCAGACAATAATGTCCCTCATCCAGACATAAGCCCCAGCTGTCCCCCTCCTACCCAACAGCTGACCCACCACCTGCCTCCTTCTTTCCTAATGAGGGAGTATGCCTCAGAGTGGGCTGGGAGGCAGAACTTAGGCCGTTTGTCTGCCTTGGCTGTCCCTCGTCAAAGACACTCTACTCCCTGCCACTGGGCTTCAGATTTGGGGCAGGAGTAGATATTTAAGAGTCCCTTCCTATTCAAGTCAACTGCCTGCATCAAGGTTTCTCAGCCTCAGCTCTATTGGTCTAGATAATTCTTTAGTGGCAGAGGACTGCATTACAGGATGTTTAGTAGCACCTCTGACTTCTACCCACTAGATGCCAGCAGCTCCATCCCAGTTAGGAAAGTCAAGTATCTCTCCGGGTATTGTCAAATGCCCTTGGGGGAAGGAGAAACATGATCCCAATAGAACACTACTGACTTTGGTTAATATACTCCTGAAGATGCCAGGAGAACACAGCAGGAAGGAAGAAAGAGAAGGAACTGAGGAAGAGGCAGTCACAGGGTTAAGGAGGAATAGGACTAGTTTTAAACAAAAGCGGTGCCTACAGTTTCCATCTGCCTCCCACTCAACAGTCTCAGGAGGAGACCACTCAGTCTGATTGTCGGGCAAAGCATTTAATTCAAGGGAGAGACACCAAATTTTTAAAAAAAAAACTCACCACCACCACTGCCACACATAGCTAACCACACGACCAAGTCAGAGAGCTGCTGAAGCTAGCCTACAACCCATGCAGGCCTCAGGACTAACAAAGCCAGACACTGAGGGCAAGACCCAGTTCCAGAGATGAATACATTCAATCATTCATTCGTGAAATGACACAGCCCTGTGCGACCTCATCCCCCACTCCTGTGATTTCCTTTAATACCAGCCACTGTCTTCAGATATACACAGCCGCCAGTACTGGGGGCAAAGATGCTTCTGGACATCCTCCTATACACCCCTAGTTCCTGTGCCCCCAGTTCTATTACTCCCCACTCAACACAACCTTGGGAAGCACATTCTCACCTCTCCGACTACTTTTACCTCGAGGGTACCTGAAACTGGTTGCATTTCTCCCTATCACAGCCACCGTAGGCTGCAGGAATTCACACACTCTGCCTTCAAACTCCACAAAGTACCCCCAGACGTAGCACAGGAAGGAAGTGTCCCCTGCATCGACCTCAGTTCCAGGCTAAAGCTAAAGCCTCCACTCTGGGGGGCGCTGGTGTCCCACCATCTCAGCCAACCCCAGGGTCTCCTGACACGCTCCACTGTGCCCGGCTCCTTCCACCAACCAGGATCCCCCTGCCCCACTCACAGCACGCAGAGTGCGAAGGCCCCCGCCACGCTCTCGCTGTCTCGGACCAGGAAGCTGCCATCGCGTCCGGCCCGGGCTAGCAGCTCCTCGGCGGCGGCGCGACTCAGGTCCCGGTGGTACCAGGCGGGGGCCGGGCAGCCCAGCGCACCCCCCGGCGCGGCGCCCCCCGGGCCAGGCGCCCCGC